TACTGCATATCTGTTCCTCAGTGCATGCTTCAGTGTATGTCTGTTCCTCACTGCATGACTCAATTGCATGCCTGTTCCTTACTGCATATCTGTTCCTCAGTGCATGCTTCAGTGTATGTCTGTTCCTCACTGCATGACTCAATTGCATGCCTGTTCCTTACTGCATATCTGTTCCTCAGTGCATGCTTCAGTGCATGTCTGTTCCTCACTACAAAACTAAGTGTATGACTGTTCCTCACCCCATGTCTCAGCTCTGGGCCAGTGAGGAAAGCAGATGTAAAAGACACCTAAAACAGTACTTATTTTCACACACATATTAATGGCACTGTGCCTCGGAAGTTAGTACAAAGTCTGCAGTTACAGGTTTGATTCCTTCCCTGGTACCTGTCTCAGAGGTTCTTGCATGTTCTCCTTATCATTGATCAACAAGTAATTCTTGATTTGGATCAACAAAGTATACAGTATTTATCAATTAATTAACGGCAGTCAAAGATGCGCTTTCAGTTCATCTAGTTCAAAACAGTGATATTTGTTTAATCGAGGATTTTGAGGGTGTGTGAAAGAAGAGAGCAAGGGAGAGAATGTCAATTAATTAAAAAAAAACAATGTGCACTTGCAAAGAATTTTAAAAGTACTTTGTTACTTCAAAATAATTAAAAATGGATATCGTGACCATAACAACAGTACTATTTCCTGCCAAGCAGAACACCACATTTAGCTAACAATAAAGTTACAGATATTTGCCTGGTATTTGCACAACGACTTTTCAGAAGAATATTAAAAAGACATCTGTGCAAAATCAATTAGAGCACACAGAGAGACTTATAAGAACTAGCTTAAGACAGACCAATGTTACTCCTCTCTGAATAGCATTAAACTGCAGGTCAAAACAACACAGCTTCCAACTGGGAAGCAAACTGAACCAGTCCCATTTACATTCAAGCAGTGAAGCTGTTTATTGACTATACTTATAACTGGATTTTGCTAAACATAAACAATGAACACAGATCAACACACATTATGCACAGAACAGGGTTATGCTTGTTACAGGGTTATTACTGACCGATATAGGCCTATACTAAACTATTTGAAAGTTTTGTACTATATTTCTAAATTTACATTTTGCGGATGGTCACTTGAAAAGATATAGACACTGTACACAACTTCAGTGCATTCTGAGAAAAGTTCAGCCTTTTTGGAATTAATGACAAATTAAATGTAATAATTAATATAGCTGAAACACTGGAATGGTAAAATTACTCTTACCTCTCCAGAAAATCTCTTACTGTGTTCATGCACCACAAGCGTATTCCCGTTGCTTCCAGGGACAATAGTAGAACCGATACTCATCCTGGGTCCAACTAACATGTACCGTTTCTCTCCGGATCTGTACTGGATGCTGTGACACAGAGTTCCGTTCCCGCTCGTGTCTACACAATTGGAATCACGTGAGTACTTGGAGGAATAATCTGGAGGTTTAGAGCACTGCATGACTATCAGGCCGATTATACTGAATACAAAAAGCGCTGAAACTGAGCCCAGAGAGATCATCAAATACAAGGTGATATTGTTCTCCTCTTCCTTCTTTACTGAGCGTTTAATATCAGAAGATGCAAACGCCTCTTTGGCCTCCACTGCATTTATAACCATGGTAGCCGTAGCTGACAGTGAGATGTTCCCATTGTCTTTTACCAGAACAACCAGCTTATGCGTGACCTTGTCAGTTTCTGTGAATGGCCGAAGTGTCCTGATCTCTCCTGTGTAGCGCTCCAAACCAAAGAGACTGGGGTCTGTAACTTGCTGCAGAGAGAATGACAACCAGCCATTGTATCCTATGTCAGGATCATAGGCTCTTACTTTAGTCACCAAATGACCTGCGTTTGCATTGCGGGAAAGCTCTACTACACCCTCCGTGGAGCCGTTAGTACTGACAGGAGACAGGATGAGCGGAGCGTTGTCGTTCTGATCCAGGATGAACACATTCACCGTGACATTGCTGCTTAGCGACGGGGTTCCGGAGTCTTTAGCTACTACTTGGAACTGGAAGGTTTTCATTGTTTCAAAGTCAAAGCTTTTCAGCGCATAAATATCACCACTATCAGGGTTGATATTTAGATAAGATACAAATTCATTCCTGCTATTTATATCTTTCCAGATATGATATGTGACAACTGCATTTTCATTTTGGTCCCGGTCAACAGCGGTGACAGAAAATATGGGGGAGCCTGGGAAATTATTTTCAGACAAGTAGCAAAAATAGGGGCTCTGCAGAAACTGTGGGCTGTTATCATTTATATCCGACAGGTGCACAGTTATGTTTTTCTGAGAAGACAGCGGCGGGTGTCCACTGTCTCTGGCCATTATTATAACATTATATTGGGACTGAACCTCTCTGTCTAATTGAGCCTTATTTACCAAAGAGTATACTGTGTCCTGCGCAGTTGTCACAAGCTTGAAAGAAATGTTTTCCTCTATGGAACAAACAACTTTACCGTTTAAATCAGAATCACTATCGTGCAGCTGAATTAAGGCCACGACCGTCCCAGGCCGCGAATCCTCATTAATCGTGCTCGAAAATGACGTAACTTCAATTTCAGGAGGATTATCATTTACGTCAATTACTTTCACAATTACGCTGCTATCTGCTCTCCATGGCACCATCCCCTTGTCCGACGCCTGCACATCGATCTCAAATAAATTATTTTCCTCATAATCTATTAATCCCTTTACCGTAAGTTCACCTGTGATTTCGTTCAAGTCAAAAAGATTGCGTATTTTATTATTGATATTACTCCCAAACGAATAAACGACTTCACCATTTGCACCGTCATCCAAATCAGTTGCATTTACCCGTATCACTACAGTGCCTACTGGAATATTTTCGTGTATTGACGCCGAATAAACATCCTTAGTAAAAATTGGCATGTTGTCATTTACATCAAGGACGTCTACCGTTATATTCATAGCGCCTATCTGAGGAGGCTTGCCGCCGTCACTCGCAGTAAGTAAGAGAAAATGCCTTTTGATGGTTTCTCTGTCTAGCTGTTTCTGTAAAATTAGAAAGGGGATTTTACTGTCTTTACCGCGATCTTTAACTTCCAGGCGGAAATGTTCGTTTTGGCTGAGTTTATAAGACTGAATGGAGTTTATTCCGACGTCCAGATCGCGTGCGGCTTGGAGCTGAAAGCGAACGCCAGGTACTGCAGATTCCACGATTTCTAACCGGCTTTCCTCCTCTGGAAAGCGTGGGGAATGGTCGTTAACATCCACAATTTCAATTTCCACGTAATGAACCTCCAGCGGGTTCTCCATGACTGTTTTCAGGTTCACTAGACACACACTTTCCTTATCGCACAGCTCTTCTCTGTCTATCTTCTGGTTCAAATACAGTACTCCGTCGTTCTGACTGATCTGAAAAAGTGAATCCTTCAAACCAGAAACTACTCGAAAACGTCGTTCCGTTAAAACTCCCAAATCAATTCCCAGATCCTTGGCAATATTCCCCACCACAGCCCCTTTGTTCACTTCTTCCTGAACGGAATATCTTATCTGTCCCCATGCGTCTTCGCAAAAAAACAGCGCCATGATATAAGCAACCATCCACCACGAGAACCAGCCTGTCTGACGCCATATTTTCGCCATTCTTGTCTAATCATCGGATAATTTTTCAGTTAAACATTACTTAAGATCAGTTATAAATACTTGTATATTGCAAATACATACTGCAAAAAGATATAGAAGCAATGATATCCCAGGTTCCCGTGGCTGTAAGGAAGGGCGATACCCGAGTGTGTAGCCTATTGGTCCTGACTCAGGTTGGATTACAAATTCAGACAGATTATGGAGCACAGTCCTGGTTTTATGGTGACACCTCGCGTTTCCACTTCAAATTGCTTCCACCAAAAAAACATGCGTTCTACTTCAATATTATTCCGAATGTATAAATTTAATTTAGTTTATTTTACAGGTAAAATCACGTCACTCAAAAGGACTGGACAGCTCAGTCAGCTGGTGATCGTGCTGTGTTGTTGAAAGTCCCAGGCGCAAGTTTGAGGTCGGTAAAACAATGTGGAGTCTGCAGGTTTGGGCGCTTTGCCGGTAATCGGACGGTTACCGGTTCAAAACCCTAGTATTTCCAGGTACAGGCTGCTTCTGCTTTCTCAATACACGTTGCTTTGTCGTTTACTAAATAAATGTAGGCCTACAGTCTGATGTCGAGTCACTTTCATTGCATTTACGTCCGAAGTCCATAGTAAATAATATACACTGATCGCGAGACTCCTGAAAGCGGACATAGTGGGTCGTTAGCGGTACTATCGCTTAGTGTAACAGGTGCAGGGGAATGGGCAGCACTGTTAGCCGAATGATGGCCCACTGTCCACATCTAACGAGTAATGGATATGTAATGGACAGCTCGAATATCGAGATACGACCAAACTGAGTTGCGTGCGGTGGTCCAGCACCCAAATGCTGGTGCAAGGCTTATTTACAAGACCAATTCCTAATGATGTGGCGCTTTAATATAAGCTATGCGTAACATGTTAAACTAATCATAAAATTGATTTTCAAGTTCATATATATATATATATATATATATTCTCAAGATCCATATATATATATATACTGTATATATATGTGGATCTTGAGAATCAATTTTATAAGTAGTTTAACATGTTATGCATCACTTATATGATTATATTTAATTGTATTATATTTAATTATAATTATATTTAATCACGAGGAGACTGCTGCTTTTGGACTAGAGTGCGTTACGTTTTTCATTGATCCATTTACTTTCTGTTTCAGAACCAACATACTGGACAGCGACCTCTCCAGAAAGTAGCTTGAAGTTTTGCCCCTATGACCAAAAAGGACACAGGCAAGCAAAATCGCTCTATAATCACTGCACACTGTGCTGAAAATGCTGTATTAACCTGTATGAATGCATGCACTAGGGAATAACACACTACTCGCTGGAACTTCCCTGACGTTACTAAAGCAGCACTTGCTGCCCAAGGTATTGTACATGTAGTCATTTCACATGATGCTGAATAAGTTAAAATACCAGACGAAACATCCAAGTCAACACTGAGTAAATTTGTAACCATTATAATCGACTTAGCATCCAGTGACTAACAGCAACAAATTAGTAAGAGTGTAGCAACAGGCAGCAGTCATCCTTACCTCTCCAGAAAATCTCTGACTGTGTTCATGAACCACCAGAGTGTTCCCATTACTGCCAGGGACAATAGTAGAACCAATACTTGTCCTGGGTCCAACTAGCATGTATCGTTTCTCTCCGGATCTGTACTGGATGCTGTGACACAGAGTTCCGTTCCCGCTTGTGTCTACATAATTGGAATCACGTGAGTACTTGGAGGAATAATCTGGAGGTTTAGAGCACTGCATGACTATCAGGCCGATTATACTGAATACAAAAAGCGCTGAAACCGACCCCAGCGAGATCATCAAATACAAGGTGATGTTGTTCTCCTCTTCCTTCTTTACTGTGCTCTTAATATTGGATGATGCAAACGCCTCTTTGATCTCCACTAGGTTAATAACCACAGTTGCTGTAGCTGACAGTGAGACATTTCCATTATCTTTTACCAGTACGACCAGTTTGTGCATGGCCTTGTCAGTTTCTGTGAATGGCCGAAGTGTCCTGATCTCTCCTGTGTAGCGCTCCAAACCAAAGAGACTGGGGTCTGTAACTTGCTGCAGAGAGAATGACAACCAGCCATTGTATCCTATATCTCGGTCGTAGGCTCTTACTTTAGTCACCAAATGGCCCGCATTCAAAGTGCGGGGAATCTCCACCACACCGTCAGCAGATCCGTTAGCACTGACTGGGGACAGGATGAGCGGAGCGTTGTCGTTCTGATCCAGGATGAACACATTCACCGTGACGTTGCTGCTTAGTGACGGGGTTCCGGAGTCTTTAGCTACCACTTGGAACTGGAAGGTTTTCAATGCTTCAAAGTCAAAGCTTTTTAATGCATAGATATTTCCATTATCTGGGTTGATATTTAGATAAGATAATGTGGAGGTGACTATACTTTCTTCCTTCCAAAGTGCATAAGAAACTACAGCATTTTCATTTTGGTCACAATCATTTGCACTTACAGCAAAGAAAGATGCACCAGGAACATTATTCTCTTCGATGTATACAGTATATGGATTTTCAGAAAATACAGGGCTATTGTCATTGACATCCGACACATCTACTGTGATGGTTTTGAAAGCCGACAAGGACGGGTCACCCTTGTCCATGGCAGCAATAATTACCTTGTAAATTGCATCCGATTCCCTGTCTAAGCGAGTTCTGGTAACCAGTGAATATGCGTTTTTTCGGAATGACGGTTTTAACTCAAAAGGAAAGTTTCCCGTCAGCTGACAAACAATTTCACCGTTATCACCTGAATCCAGATCTGACACGCTGATAAGAGCGATAGCTGTTCCGGGACTTGCGTCCTCAGGCACGTGGCTTGATAATGGCGTCACGTCTATTACCGGCGCGTTGTCATTTGCGTCTTTGATTTTGACGATGACGCTGCAGTGACCACTCAATGCGACGGAACCCTTGTCAGTTGCTTGTACATCAATCTCATAAGTGTCCTTTTCTTCAAAATCAATGAGTCCCTTCACCCGGATTTCACCAGTATTGCTATCCAAGGTAAATAAATCCGTAGCTTTATTTCGCACGCTGTTGTCGAACGTGTATTTAATCTCTTGGTTTTCGCCATCATCCAAATCAGTGGCGCGCACTCTCACTACAAAGGTGCCCAAAGGGACATTTTCATCTAGGCTTACTGAGTACACCTGCTGCTCAAAGACTGGAGCGTTATCGTTGGTGTCAATGACAGTTACGGTAACATTTAGAAAGCCAGACCTCTCTGGCTTCCCTCCATCGTATGCCGTTAATACTAAAGTGAGTTTCGGTTCTTGCTCTCTATCAAGTGGTTTTTTTAAAATTAGGAATGGAAGTTTGTGCTCGCCGCGATTTTTTACCTCTAGATCAAAGTGGTCGTTTTGACTAAGCTTGTACAGACGGAGCCCATTGTTCCCCGCGTCGGGGTCGAGCGCTGACTCCACAGCAAAGCGCGCTCCGGCCAGCGTTGTCTCAGCTATTTCTAATTTTTTCTCATTTTCCGGAAAAACCGGGGAGTGGTCGTTAATATCCAATATTTCTACCTCCACATAATGTATCTCCAGTGGATTGTCCAGTATTGTTTTCAGGTTAATCAAACAGACGCTGCTTTTTTCACAAAGCGTTTCTCGGTCGATATTTCTGTCCACATACAGCACGCCGTTGGATAATTTTACCTGAAAAAGATGTTCCTTAGACTCAGAGACAATCCGAAAGCTTCGTTCCGACAGCTGGTTGACATCAAGACCCAAATCCTTAGCAAGGTTTCCTACAAAAGTTCCTTGTTTCTGTTCCTCTGCGATCGAGTATCGTATCTGGGTGAAAACGCCTTTGCAAAAGCACAGTAGTAGAATGTAACGTAAAACCACTGCGTTTTGTCTGTCCTCCATGATTAAAATGCACTGTTTCCAAAGATGCCGAGCAGCATCAATTACCTGTGCAACATTATCCTATATATCCACTAGAAAACATTTTGACACGCATTCCGAAATCCCATTAACAGAAGTGAACGATTCGTCTTTGAACACAAAGCAGGCAGCCTCCCTGTGTACGATCCTGAAAGAGGGAGGGATTCTTCCCTAATAATCCGCGAAAGATATGTACTGTATTACAGCGACACCCCGCGCCCTCATAAAGTGCTTTTATTTACACAGGTCTACTAAATAGCCTATATTTCATTTAAATGATGTACTGTATATATTTCGATTTTACTTTACAACCCATTGTTTCTTGGCAATGGTAATGACTAAAAGACGTTTTCTGCATACTGTAGTTGCCACAGAGACTTTGTTTAATGCCTTAGCCAACAAACCTATATTTATAAAATGAGTTGACTTCCAGACGAGATGTACAGTAGCCTTACTTTCTATAAAGCATTTTAAAGACTAAAATCTTTTACCTCTGAAAAACCATTCATTAAAATGTTAAATTTGTGGTCAGATATTGACATGGTTGTGACATGTGAGATTCCATACCTTAGTCACTTAAACACTTTTAAGGAGAATAAATGCCATTTATTCAGGAAAATAAGGAATGGGCACGTGTACTAAGTTCCGTAAGTTACGAATGGATACGTATTGTATCTCAATTGAGGGAAGCGAGCAAGTCGCATACGCGTCTTTATTCCCTGCTGAGAACACCAATTTAATCCAAACACTTTGGAATAATTGTATACATTTATATACTCCTACCATTTACAATAGTTTGCCCTTACATATTAAAAATGCCCAGTTTGTAGAACCGTTTGAGTCCCTGTTGTAGTCTCGTATATTTGAAATGGCGTTTGATTCAGATGGAGCATGATGTATTTGACGTTCCTAATAGGAAATTGTATTACTTATTTATTCATATATTGCTTCAATTATAGTTTCTTCTATTTTTATCTTTAAATTGACTTGAAACATTTTATTAGTTTCTCTATTTAAAAAAATCTAAATCTGACTATACTTTATTTATTTGCTGTTAATTTGTGCCTGTTCAGCACTTTGGTCAACTTTGTTTGTTTTAAATGCATTATAGAAATAAACTTTCACCTTGACTTATTTGTATATGGAGTCATTCCAATTAAGTACTGAGCTCACAGAAGTTCACGTCACTAAGGTCACTTCCACAAATTATAAAACAGTAACGAAAAAACAAGGGTGCTAATACTAAAACTTTACAAAACAATTTCCATAGATATTTGCTGATTCCGTAAGGAAGACTTGATTGTTGATTAAACTAAGAAATAAGACTTAATAGAAACGAAAACTCTAAACTAGAGGTTAGAAGTTGCATGGATGGATGGATGGATTTATGGATGGATGGACTCCCAAACTGGAAAGAGTATACTTTTAAAACAAATGACATCAGCTCATTTTATACTCATTCAAATATTAATGTCAATTTCTAAATTCTTTTGTTATTATAAAGAATATCAGTATTAATTAAAATGTATTTGTCAGTTGGTGTAAAAAAATATTCTATTAAGACATCAAGCAGAAATACAGTTCATGCAGTGAATGGTTTACAGCTTATTCCCGGGAAAAGGACACCCTGGTTTTCCCGCTATGAAAAGAATGAGCACAAAGTAACATCGTGGATTGTTTAAATTGTGGTTACTTAATCTTCTGATCAGGAAAAAGCCAATTTAAATAATCCTATAGAGACCACATGCTCAGCATATGAATGGTCTGACTGCTTTTTCTTGGTAACTCTCACTGCCATCAATCCATGCAATCATGGTTCAGAAATAAAACAAATAATAAGGTAAATTTGATACCTCACAAAACAAGTAACAACACAAATATAAATTTTGTAATAACAAATGCACAATCCTTCAGAGTTAAGTACACAGCTAAATGGTTTGTTACAGTGAAACCAATGTAAAGCTACCCTTAGCGGTTTATATAAATGCAAAAGTAGGCCTACTTACCTCACCGGATATTCTCTTACTGTGTTCATGGACCACAAGCGTATTCCCGTTGCTTCCAGGGACAATAGCAGAACC